GAGTTGCAGCCCGTCAACCTCCTTCTACATGTCTACCGGAACTTCGGAGTGCATTGCTTTTTGAGTGATGTAATATCCCCCAAGATCAGATCGATAATTTGATACTCAGATGCCTAGGCGTTGTACGGACTGTATTGCATCGTCTGGGAGACATACAATGTATTAAATCAATCAACCAACCATGTAATATTGGTTTTTTGTAAATAAGTTTTTTTTTTTTTTTTTTTTTGTAATTTGCTCCAGGGAGAAAAAATCGTAAATTTTTTTAATATCAAACATACAGCATCTTTTTTTTAATAAATAAGCTTTACAAATAAGTAAAATTTGTTTTGCTTCTTACTCTTCCTTTGCCTGATTTTGCATTATCCTTAATTTATGGACATGAGTGTAGATTGAGCACCATTAAAATTTTAATTTCATTTCACGTTGCTTTAGTCAAAAATATGAATTTTTATTAGTACTTTTAGGATTAAATTTTTGTTACCAATAAATATGTATAATTATCCTAAATATATTTAAAGTTTATATAAGAAGCTAAGTATGTTTAGAAAGGGTTTTACTTTGGTAAATGGTTGCACGGATTTTGGCAAACGATATGACTTATGATAAACCCATTGCTGGACAAGTTATTTATGGTAACCAATACTTTGTCGTCATTTTATTTAAAAAATAATGCATTTTATTATGCATGAATTCAGTGTTTTAAATATTATTTATGGCTTCTAAATATTAAAAATCAATTAAATTTTGCATTTTTTTTTAAATAAAAATTTTATTGTTTATATTTTATATAATTTTATGTTGTGGATGATGTAATCAATGACGTCACCTTACAATACGTGACCATGGACCTTATGACGTCATTTATAAATACATTTAGATTAAATTTTCATTTTTAAAATTGATACTTCAATTTTTATTAAAAAAATTAATACATTGTTTTCAAAAATTGCTGAGATATTTACTGCCACACATGTTTTAATGTTAAATAATTATATCCTATAAAACTTATTTTAAGGTATTTGAATTTAAGTAATATTTTAATTCTTTTAAATGTTGGAAAGATATTTTAATTTGATATTCAATTTAAGTAATTAAATACCAATTAAATCTTGGTGCAATGTTCTTATTCTATTTCTTTGCTATATGAAAGTAATAATTTAACCTTTAGTATTTTATACTCATAGTAAATGCATTTATTTACATATGCCTGCCATCTTTCAACAAAAAAGTAATCCATTATTTTTAATGATATTTATTTTTTAAAGTTTTGAATACTTTATTATGCATAAAATATGTAAAAACAGCATTTTTCAAGATGGCTGACGATTGTAAAAACTGCACCAACAATTGCATCAACGTAAACTGCCAAAAATCCATGAAACCATCTACCAAAGTAATACCTTAAAAAGATATAATTTAGTTACATGATATAACATCACATACTGCACTGTTATGTGAGTACCTTTTCCATAAGCGATATTTTCCTCTTGGTAACTCTATGCAGGAACACTAAAAATGTGCAATGCACTCACTGGAATTCTAACTCTAGACTTCATGAATATGCATCCAGCATGCTTCTATGGAAAATGAGGGTTAAAGGGTGACTCTGAATTAGGGGAAATTAATTTCAAAATCCTGGCAGTCACAAATTATCATCCACCACCGTTTAAGTTCAGATGCCATTGCAGGGTTCTTAGAATTTTTCAAAGTCATGAAATAGAAGAAATATGAAAATATCCTTGCAGGGATTCGAAATCTGAACCTCCTGAATACGTATTGAGCGTATTCAGAAGTTATGTTAACTTGTGAATATGAATAACATGAAGCTGCACTACATAGGCATGCAAAAAGGAGAGAGAAAATAACTTTAAAAGCTTATCTAATAGTTCATGTTTTGTAAAGAAATAGTTTCCACCTTTTTTGCCCATGCTAGTAATTGCACACGAGAAAAGCCATTTTTTCTGCTCTGCTTTTTCAGCTTGATTTTTCTCATGACTGTGATAATAGTTATAACTAAGTTTGACTCTGTAGCAAAACATGCTCACTTTATCTTATAAACTTGATGTAGAAAAAATTGATTAATGTATACCAATTCAACATTGATTACAACTTTTATCATTCTTAATATGCTTTATTGCAAATTTTCTTTTTAGAAATAAATAAGATTTCTATTCTACATGCAACATAAAAATTTTGGTCACTAAATTAGCTGTTCACTTAAAAAAATAAGCAAAAATGCTTCATTTACAATTTTATCAAATGCATAACAATAATGAGTGTAAAAATCACAATCAACAGAATAAATACCTATGTTACAATTGTACAGTACAGTGATTCATGGAATCTGAATCAATAAATAAAAACAGAAAAATTTATAAAGATTAGCAACATTAATAAAACAAAATAAAGCTAAAAATCAACAATTACTGATAAAATTTATTATTTTCAAGCATTAATCTGAAAGCATAGTAGCTGTTTATACCATTTTCCGAATTGTAGTAAAATAAGTTGAAATACTTCACTAATTGTATAGTCACCTCCCTCCAAAAAAAGAAAACATCTACACCGGCATAAGAATAGGGAGAAAAAATAATTTCCCCAATAGCATTTTCAAGCATTTGAAATGCATGAAATAATAAGCACTTAAGTATTTTTACATTAATCACCAAAAATTAAGCAACAAACTCCAGCTTATGCTTTCATTACACGTGAACATTTTAAATATTATTTTAGCTTTTTTTGCAGAAGAATATGGCTATAAATTAAAGATTTTCAATAAAATTCATTATTTTGTCTCTTAAATTTATAAACTGCTAATTTGGCTGTTTCTCCTATCCAACTTAGCCCCAGCAGTGGCCAAGTGCTTAAGACTGCTGAATACTGAACCCCCGGCAAATAAGCTGGCTGCATGATTAATTTTCATATTTCTCCCCATGTGAAATGCGGATATGATCCAGTTCTGACTAGAAAGGTCCTCCACAAAGGCACCACCTTTAGGCAGATAAAGCCATTGTGCACTTTGTCATATTCTAGTAAAAGCAACTGACATAATGAACTGCTTTAAACTGTGTCATTTCAAAAGTAATCCTTTTCACATGATTCTTTTACTGCTCATATTTTGCTAATGACGAAAGTTTCTGCCAATCATAATATCTAAATTTGCAAATCAAAATTTAAATTAACCAAAACTAAATTAGACTTTCCAGATTTTCGAGGTGTTTTCTCATTCATTCTCAATTTCCTGCGAAATTGCTGTCATTGCTTTCTGTATTTTACTGTAAGCATGTTATAAAAATGTAAAAATTTGTCAAAAAACATGCACATCTTGTGCCAGCTTAGCTACATGTGTGAAGATATCATTTTTTCAAGCAAAGCAATATAAATGTATGTCACAACTGCTGCTTAGAATCTTTTATACATTCACTCCAACACTAACATGTACATTTGCTCTACATTATAAAAGTAACTTCAGGAAGGATTAAATGTAATACTTTAGATTGCAAATATTAGAAACTGATTTTTCTGCAGTCTTAAATGTACAACCAAATGTCACATCAAATACTGAAAATCTGTCATTGTTTTCGAGAAAATGGGAGGAGTTAAATTCTTTTTTCCATAAATTTCTGCACATATAAAAAAAAAAGGTATTTACGTATTAACGCAACCAGGCCAAAATTTGCATAAATCGCCAAATTTGACGACCCTAAGTGTTATGCAACCGTACGTTTTGTATGAAAGAATTTATTTGTAAAAAGAAAAATAACGCTGGGCGTGTACTACTACAGCAATGGGTTTTCGACGGAATTTGCCGGGGAAAGAAAGAAAGACTTTTTTGGTTACTGTACCTAACAGAAGCGCCGTTACCCTCATGGAAAAAATTTGCAAAAATATCAAGGAAGGAAGCATCATTTATTCGGATTGCTGGAAAGGATACAATACCAGTGAGTTCGAAAATGCTGGATTTCTGCATGGAACTGTTAATTACAAATATAACTTTGTGGATCCCAACACGGGCATTCACACACAACATGTAGAGCGCATGTGGGGCTCAGCCAAATGGCGCAACAAAAAACAGAGAGGAACAGCCCATCATCATCTTGACTCATACCTTATCGAATTTATATGGCGCCAAACTCAAGCTGTTAATGACGAAGACGGTTTTCAATCAGTGCTAAAAGCAATAGCCAAAAGATTTCCGCCGAAAAAATAATTCTGCAACTTATTCAAATTCGAAACCGGAAGGGTTTAATTGCTATTTTATATTTTAAAACAAAATAACATAAAAAACTGTATTAAAAATTATCTGTAATTAATAAATGTACATTTTCTTTCTATTCATACTTTTTTACTCAAACTTACAAATCGTGCCAACCTGGTTGCTATAATACGCAAGTACCAAAAAAATGAAATATCCTGTAATAAGAAATAGAGAATATGATATGTATACACTGTTCAGTTGAAAATTTTATCTTTTTTATATATAAAATTTGATTCTTACTTTCTACTTAAGTGTAAAATTGCCGTTCTAGTTTAGTACTTTTTTCAAAAAACTCCATTTGATTTTCTTATAATCCAAAATTTCTTATATTATTATTTTTTGGAAATGTATTTAGACGAAAATAAATTTTTTTGAATTACAATACAAAACTCTTCTTCATATCATACATATATCAATATTTAGCTGAATTGCATTTCATATCCAATAGATCAGGGGTTTTTAACAAGGAAATAATTCATAGTTTCAGAGGGAAATGCAGTTTTTTATTTAGCTGTTAAGCATTTAGTTTTAGTTTATAAATAAAATAAAATTAAGTTTATTCAAGTTTTAGTAATTATTAGAATTTTCTACACTTATAATTTTTAATTTATGGAATACATTTAAAAATAATCGAAATCTAAATAAATTTAAACAAATTTAAATTCTTAACAAATACATATAAAAGTAAAAAAGTAAAAAAAAATTTGTAAATTGCTTTTTTACTTTTATACATATTTGTTCCTTGCAGCAATGGCGCAAAGAATATTTAATTAAATATGTATTTAAATTTAATTTTTTAATTAAACTCAATTTATTCTTATGAAATCTAAATAAATGTATTTATATTTTTTGAGTTTGGGAAAGGAGAGAGGGGCTGTGCAGAAAGGGGTGCATGAAGCAAAACAGGTTGAAAACCACTGCTGCAGACCATATCATAGATATTATCACAGTACCACACATAATTATTTTAATTTTTAGTACACTTAACATTCTTACTTTTAGTATGTGCAGTTATCAGAATCAAAATGAACTATGATTTAAAATTCTGCTATCTCTCACATGAACTTCAACTCTAATACAAGTATTTAATAACATAGCTAGTTTTATGATCATTTTATTATACACGACTAATATTTTCTTAAGTTACTGCTTTTATTAAGAGAAATGCACTGCAAGTAATATGTGAAATTACATTTAAAGGCAGAGGCTAAAATTTCAGGTAGAAAAAAAAAAAAAAAAAGAATTCCATATGTTATAATTAAAAATACATCCACAACAGCATTTTATTATTTATATAAATGCAGACAATATTCAGATTTTCTTACCAGAACTAAATTTTACACGAGGGTTGAATTAATTAAAAAAATATCTGAACTTTGTCCTTAAACTGTTATATTATTTTTAAAAATAAATTAAAATGACTTATATATAATCATTTATCCTATAATAATAAATATGCTTCTTGCAAGCTGAAATATTAGGAACTATCACAGTCAAAGCGCTATAATATCATTCTGGTCTCTTCTAGATTCTAGTGCTTTCCGACTATATTCACTAGCATATAAAAATACATCTAATGTGGATTCAGTACATTGTGCAATAAACCGAACGAAAGGTCGTATATCACCTTCATTAGCTAACTGCAAAGTATTATAATAAAAAGCTCTATCTTGCTTGTGTATTATAATAGGCGGAAATCCAGCTTGCATAAGTATCAAATTCATTAGCAAACGGGCTGTTCGCCCATTTCCATCAACAAAAGGATGAATATATACAAGTTTATAATGTGCCAATGCAGCTTTCTTCACTGGGTGTAACTGAGTCTCGGATTGCAACCATTCCACAAGGTCTTGAACTAAACTAGGGACATGTGATGCTGGAGGTGGTGAATGCTCACCAACAAATACTTGGGTTTTACGAAATGTTCCAGCTTCTAAGGGGTCAACAAATCCAAGAACTCGCTTGTGAATTTCTAAAATATCATATACAGTAATATAAGTACCTTTATTTACTAATGATTTATTTACAAACTTCAATGCAGACTCTAAACCTAATATTTCATTATGTTCCATTATACTTTTTCCTGCTACAGCCATACGGGTTTCAACAACTTGTCTGGCTTCACCAAGTGTCATAGTATTTCCCTCAATGGCAACAGTGTGATATATGTGCTGAAAATAAAGTTCTTTTCTCACTCGTTTTTGAGCAGGATCTTTGTTGTTCAATTGCATTAAATTAGTGCGTTTTGCATCAATCCTTTCAAGTTCTTGATCATCTAATTCATTGACCACAGGTAAAGTTCTCTGCCTATTAATAAGAGCTCGAGTATGTCGCGGACTGACAGTAAGAGCCCTAACATATAAATGATCAGCTTTTATTACATCTCTTTCTTTTTCTTCAAGAAATTCTCCATAGTGATTTAATACATCAGGGTGATGTGGTTGCAAAGCCATAGCATGTTGAAACAACTTGCGAGCCTTATCCAATTTATGGGAATTTTTCATTTTTAAAGCCATATTAACTGCTGTAAGAGCTTCTTGTTCTGCAAAAAGAGAAAAAGAAAATTAATTAATTGATACATATACATAGTACATCATATTCCTAAATAATTTTCATTGAAAAGAAACTAAAACTTAAACTAAGAATTTTTTTCTAAAATGAAATATTCCGTAGCTTTACAAATTCTGCTTGTTGTTGTCTTGTCCAAGGCGTCAGCGCAGAGGAGTCAAATAGGGCCCAAAGTATCCAGAATAAGCTGCAACAATATCAATAATTTTCGAAGAACAGAGGAGTTGGTGTGAGGGAGCTAAATCAGTACTGAAGAGCTTGGACAAAATAGCAGGACAGTCGAAGAGATAGTTTGGAGAAAATTCAATATCAATACAGTGAGGACACAGCTTTTATAATTTCGATGATCATCAGAGGATATCTTCATTCAAGTGTTTTATCCTCAGTCTAGCTATGGTAGTGGAAATGACACGATTACAATTTAGTGCAGGAACGGAATTCTTCTTGATAGACTGGGAGGTAAGTCTTCGGCTGACTACTGCGTCAGCATCGGTAAGGGTTAAGCTGTTGGAAAGCCTTTTCCGTGGAAAGTGCAATATTGGAGATTCTGCTTTATTAAATTAACTGGAATCCATATTAATGATTTTTTAAATATTATAATTTTCTTTTTTGCCCCCTTTTTCTTCAGAAAATTTTATAAAGTAGTTAATATTTTTTTAGCCTCAAAACCAGTGACCTAGGTTGAATTCTCTCCTTTACTACCCTTCAATTCTTCTGTCTGCAGATTTAGAAAAGTCATGAATTTCATAACAATGAACATTTACAGTTGGTTTATTTTTGCTTTAAATTTATTCAATAATTTGGAAGTTATGGATAGTTTGGAAGAAGATTTTAAACTGCATTCAATTAACTGTGTCTTGTCATTGAAATATTAACATTTTTGCCTACTTCAACAGAAATTTGTTTTATGGCATTCAGCCAGAGTTTTTGCAATTGAAATGTTGTTTACGTATTTTCATGCAGTAAAAAATGGCACAGAAAATTGAATATTTTGCATTGAATTAAACTTTGAAATCCTTCACATTGCAATCACATCCTTGGTTGTATTAAAATTATTCTTTTTCTTCTGACTTGTTTAGAGTCCTGTTTCCATTTTATTATTATCTTCCCTTTTATCAAGTTTTGAATACATTCAATTCTTTTCTGTTAAAACTATACCAACTGATGCTTCTCTCCTGGCATATTTCTCAGTGTCAGGTGTCACCAGTTTGGTTGAGCTTCTTTCCTGCTGATAGTTGTTCATATAACCTTTCCCCCCCGCCCCGCACACCCATGTTTTCATGTCATCAGTTTTTTTTTTTTTTTTTTTTAAACTGTACTGGATTTTATGATTTGGGATTTCCCAAGAGGTAAGCAGCTATCCTGTTTATTTAAGAAAGAGATATTCTTTACAAAGATTATGTTTGGATAATCATTTTATAAAATAAAATGTGGTTTAAAGCTGAAAATTGCTATGTGATATCTTCTGCCAGGCCTGAAAAAAAAGTGTCCATATACAAAAGTAGTTGCTAGATAAGTTATTCCTTTTGTTACTATAATATGAAGCATTTATTTATGGTGAGAGAAGTTAACAAATGAATCACATTACAACCATTAATTGCAATAATTACATAAAAGATGTACAGACTAATTCCTTGTTATCTGGTCTTAATATTAAAACTGATATATACAACAAAATGGTGGAAAACAGTGAACATGTATTAAAACAAAAGGATAGGGCCATGTTCTCCCTCCCACACAAATAATGGATTTTTGTCATGAAATTAGCAAATGTTCTTTTCAACAGTTCCCAATCATTTCATTCCATCTAGTAAGCCAAAGGCATGCAGAAAAAATACGCTCAAATATGGCAATACAGCATTAAAAATGCATGATATGGTTTTAACAAGAAAGTACCAAACATTCTGAATTCAAAAAGATACAGTACGTAAAAGACACATAAACCCAAAGTTGTGAGAAACAGATTATTTGAAAACAGGGCAAAAAAATTTAAGAAACAGCAGAGATTCAAATATTACTGAATAAAATGTTAAAAGCACCATGTTGCAATAATGGCACTGGATACTGGATTACCATGCAAGTGGAACCATTGGATGCTATACTAATGGACTTTTACTGGGGGGTGGGGTTGGAAGCTTGATTAACTGCATTACTGTGTGCCAAGACCACAACTTAAAAAAAATTAGGTCTACTTATTATTGAAACTTTCAAAGCACTACTATTTTCAAAAATAGGTCATAATACCATTCACTTAATACATTGCAAATAATAATACTATTATTTTTACGAACTGGATAAAACAATTAGGCAAGAATATGAAAAATGAAAAAAGGTGATTTGAAGCTTGGTTAACCACATTACTGTGGTCACAATACCATGCACTTAGGACATTGCAAATACTAATACCATTATTTTTACGAACTGAATAGAACAATTAGGCAAGAATGTGAAAAATGAAAAAAGGCAGGTACAACTTGTTATTCCCCAATAGCTAGTTTTACTTTTTTAGAATTCATTTCTTCCTCCCTTTTCTTTTTAATATCAGTTGCACAAGAAAGTTATAACCACTGATATGCATAATCTAAAACACGGAAGAAAACTGCAGAGAATATGTTATTTCCTTACTATTACAGTCTTTTATATTTTAAGAGTGCCAAGGCATATCATAAACCATCACCAAATGGCTGGCAGACTGTAAGTCCACAAGACCAACTCTAAGCAGGGGTGTTTTAGTGCCATCCATTAAAGATAGAGATAAGAGGTTTAAAGTTGCAAGTTTAAAGATTGCACGGCAAAAGTTCCTGGGACAAGAGAATGCTTTTGACCCGATATATCAGAAACAATCGGGAAAGCATGGCAGTCATAAACAGCATGTGAGAAGTACACGTGTTTGCTATAAAAGTTCTTAAATTTTTCATTTAAAACTTAATGTTAATTAAATAACAGAGGCCATAATAATAAGGAAATAACGACAATAAATAAGTAGTTTTAAAACTCATTATCTAGATCTGAAGCAAGTAAGACAGAACAACCTCTTGACTTCCTCCAAAGCCATATTTTATGTCCTATGTATATATTCTACATATGATTAATATAGTCACGACTGTTTCTTGCAAAACAAAAGAGCTTTCTCATGAAACAGCAGGTTTCAAGGAATTATGATTACTAAACACCACTCCAAGCTATGCACCCCAGAGTCATGATTTAGAAAGAATGCCTGGAACACTATCACAAAGTATTTCCCCACATTCAAGATTTTATTCAAATTTAAAACTGAGTCTCCATTTCTAATTCTGTCATGTGATACATGTCAATATCACAAATCAATATCATGTGATATCATGTATCACATTTGTACACAATTGTGATATCATTGTGATCATGTACACAATTGTGATATCATGTATCACATGACTTTGTGAGTCATGTGATACATGACTTTGTGAGGATTGAGTATATGCAAACATGAACATATATTTGAAGAGCAGAATGCAATCCGTATCTTCAGAAGACACTGCTTTTAACTATAGAAGAAACGACAGAAATGGCATGAAAAATGAAAAATGCATACAAGAAATGAAAAGGAAAATATTTAGTGTACATGAAGAATAGAATGCAATACGTATCTTTTGAAGACACTTGCTAATTTCAGAAGAAACCATATGAAACAAACGTAAGTAATAAAAAAGAAGAGGAAAATACTTCAACTTTGAACCAGCCCAGTTTTACAGATGCACTTGCCTCTTTTGCAACATCATATTTTATTAAGGGTAATTTGAATAACAGCACGAAAACTGCATTAATAACAGTGAACAATGAAATTTTATAAAGGACTTCAGACCTAGAAAATGCTAGAAAAATACGAAAAACTATTTAACTGCAGTTATCTATACTGTACACCCACACAAATACTCTTCTAATAAATAAACTCTTATTTTATTACTTAGTAGCTTTAGTGAAAGTATAAGGCATTTTTAAAATACTAAAAATTATCTTAGTTCTTTGTGTTTATACATATTATATATACATATATGTATGTATAAACACAATTTCAAATTACTTAGTTCTTTGTGTTTATACATATCATATATATATTAATTATTTGATCAAAAACACGAGGGAAAAAACATAAAGCATCATTTTAACTGATTTATAACATTTATACATTTACTTCAGTTAATTTCCATTTAAAATATATATTTGTCATGATTACTGGATCTATGAAATAGATATTTTGATTACAATAGTTTAAAAATTTATGTCTTTTTGTTTGCTTAAGTTCCCATGCTTCTGAATAGAAATAATAATTACATTTTTTAGAGAGAAGAGATGATCCAATATAAATTTATAAGTTTCTCAGTTATTTTAATTTCTGCCCTTGACAAAAATCTATAATGGCATTCTATTGTATATAGGTACATTAAATTCAGCTTAAAAAAAAAAAAAAAAACACAGCATTAAAACAGGATATAGGCTCAGAGTTTATTACAAATAGGGAAATGTCAAAGTTATAAATTGAAACGGTTACTTCCTAGAACTAAAGGGAAATACACTCCAACAATAGTTGATGAAAAAAAAGAAAATGTCAAAAGAAAAATAACAGCTTTTATGTAGCATTTGCTTTTAGCAATTCTGTACCTGTTACTAACTTAAAATTGTCTACTTCCTATTTAGAAACTATGTTGGCTCGCTTCGCTGAAGACATTACTTCTTAATTACCCTTTTTTTCACATAATTTACTTTGATTTACTCATAGGCACTAGGTAAATTATGTTTAGTATGGCTCTGCATTTAACTTACCTCCTTTTGATTTTCCACAATTTTTTTAAATTAACATATAGACATATATTCATGAAACAAACATCAACATAAAACATTACAGAACATGAAAAAATTTATTTTTTAAACACTATAAAAATATGTATTTAAAAAAAAAAGATTTGGATTTTAACTGCAGCCCGAGATGGCTCTTAA